GCGGTCGGCCCCGCCCCAGACCTCCTCGCGCTGCGAACACATCACGACGGGAGGTTTTCGGGGCTATGTTCGGCCTCGCGGTCGGCCCCGCCCCAAACCCTCCTCGCGCTGCGAACACATCACGACGGGATGTTTTCGGGGCCGGCCCCGCCCCAGACCTCCTCGCGCTGCGAACGCATCACGACGGGGGGTTTTCGGGGCTATGTTCGGCCTCGCGGTCGGCCCCGCCCCAGACCTCCTCGCGCTGCGAACACATCACGACGGGAGGTTTTCGGGGCTATGTTCGGCCTCGCGGTCGGCCCCGCCCCAGACCTCCTCGCGCTGCGAACACATCACGACGGGAGGTTTTCGGGGCTATGTTCGGCCTCGCGGTCGGCCCCGCCCCAGACCTCCTCGCGCTGCGAACACCTCACGACGGGAGGTTTTCGGGGCTATGTTCGGCCTCGCGGTCGGCCCCGCCCCAGACCTCCTCGCGCTGCGAACGCATCACGACGGGAGGTTTTCGGGGCTATGTTCGGCCTCGCGGTCGGCCCCGCCCCAGACCTCCTCGCGCTGCGAACGCATCACGACGGGAGGTTTTCGGGGCTATGTTCGGCCTCGCGGTCGGCCCCGCCCCAGACCTCCTCGCGCTGATCGGAACACATCACGAACGGCGCGAGGGTTTTGGCCACGGCCGGGCTATGTTTTTTTTTTTTTTTTTTCGGCCTCGCGGTCTAGCCCCGGCCCCCGACCTCCTCGCGTGCGAACACATACGCCGGGAGGTTTGCGGGCTACGTTTCGGCCTCGCCGTCGGCCCGCCCCAGACCTCCTCGCGCTGTGCGAAACACATCACGCCGGGGAGGTTTGCGCGGCTATTTTCGGCCTCCTCGCCCGGTCGCCCGCCCCAGACCCTCGCGCTGCGAAACACATCACGAAGGGAGGTTGAGGGGCTATGTTCGGCCTCGCGGTCGGCCCCCGCCCCAGACCTGCCTCCCGCTCGAACACATCACGACGGGAGGTTTTCGGGCTATGTTTTCGGCTCGGGTCGGCCCCGCCCCCAGACCTTCCTCGCGCTGCGAACAATCACGCCGGGAGGTTTTCGGGGTCTGTTCGGCCTCGCGGTCTGGCCCCGCCCCAGACCTCCTCGCGCTGCGCCTGCGGGAAACACATCACGCCGGGGCGGTTTCGGGCCATCGTTCGGCCTCGCTGTTTCGGCCCACGCCACAGACCTCCTTAATTCTTCGTTGTCTCGCGCTGCGCCGAGAACACATTCACGACGGGAGGTTTTCGGGGCTAGTTCGGCCCTCGCGAACACATCACGACGGGAGGTTTTCGGGGCTATGTTCGGCCTCGCGGTCGGCCCCGCCCCAGACCTCCTCGCGCTGCGAACACATCACGCCGGGAGGGTTTCGGGGCTATGTTCGGCCTCGCGGTCGGCCCCGCCCCAGACCTTTTCGCGCTGCGAACACATCACGCCGGGAGGTTTGCGCGGCTATGTTCGGCCTCGCGGTCGGCCCCGCCCCAGACCTCCTCGCGCTGCGAACACATCACGAGTATGTTCGGCCTCGCGGTCGGCCCCGCCCCAGACCTCCTCGCGCTGCGAACACATCACGACGGGAGGGTTTCGGGGCTATGTTCGGCCTCGCGGTCGGCCCCGCCCCAGACCTCCTCGCGCTGCGAACGCATCACGACGGGAGGGTTTCGGGGCTATGTTCGGCCTCGCGGTCGGCCCCGCCCCAGACCTCCTCGCGCTGCGAACACATCACGCGGGAGGTTTTCGGGGCTATGTTCGGCCTCGCGGTCGGCCCCGCCCCAGACCTTTTCGCGCTGCGAACGCATCACGCCGGGAGGTTTGCGCGGCTATGTTCGGCCTCGCGGTCGGCCCCGCCCCAGACCTCCTCGCGCTGCGAACACATCACGACGGGAGGTTTTCGGGGCTATGTTCGGCCTCGCGGTCGGCCCCGCCCCAGACCTCCTCGCGCTGCGAACACATCACGCCGGGAGGGTTTCGGGGCTATGTTCGGCCTCGCGGTCGGCCCCGCCCCAGACCTCCTCGCGCTGCGAACACATCACGCCGGGAGGTTTGCGCGGCTATGTTCGGCCTCGCGGTCGGCCCCGCCCCAGACCTCCTCGCGCTGCGAACACATCACGACGGGAGGTTTTCGGGGCTATGTTCGGCCTCGCGGTCGGCCCCGCCCCAGACCTCCTCGCGCTGCGAACACATCACGACGGGAGGGTTTCGGGGCTATGTTCGGCCTCGCGGTCGGCCCCGCCCCAGACCTCCTCGCGCTGCGAACACAT